AAAATGAGTTATGATGATTTCATCCCCGGAAACTAAACGAATCGAAAACAAAAAACACCTGTTAGAAAGAGGAGAAAATGCTGCATCGAATAGTGCGCGAGCTGCCTTTCTTTTGATGTCCTACGAGGATTTAGCTGCCCAAGTATGGAAATCGGTAGCATCAGTTAAAATTCTGTTAAAAATGTATGACAAGCTATAGAAAGGAGAAAAGAGTAGTGCTGTTTTCTATAAGGTTTACTCTATCGAATCCTTACTTGCAATCCTTCTGAGAATTGATATGAAAGTTTTAAAAAATCATGAAACTTAACCATCTCGAAAAGCGTGGGTTGCAGATTTTAGTTATTTTCTGAAAGCTTATTGACTGTTTTGCAACATTTACATAACCATTAGAAAGAGAATGAAATTCTGCATCGAATGCTACCATGAGCTTCTAAAAATCTTCGTTTCATCGTCTGTGGCGTCCGTTTGAAAAAAGCGAAGTTACTTTCGGAATGACCTAATATAAATGATATATAAATTATGAAATACAAACGGCGCGTATACCTTTATGTTCGTCTTAGATGGGGATAGGATGGGTAAGGTGTTGTGGAATAGTAGACAGTAGCAGTGGCCTCCTTCTTTGGTAAGTCAGTAAAGAATGAACTCCAGTTGCTTGCCCAGGTCAAGTAATTAGCATCAACACATCTTTCACTTCTTCTTTACCGTTTATTTGTGGGCTATGTCTACATATTTCGTAAGCCTCCCTAATTTTCCTTTCTAAGGTATTTTCCAAGTTCCGATGTAGAACAGTCACTCTTAAAGGCGGTGCTTTCATGGCATGTTTAAGCGTCCGATGCCTTGAAAAACTTTCTCTCGGATAGGAGGCAGGATTGAGTAACGCTCTTCTGTGCTCATCTAATCTCAACTTCAAGGGCCTTCCGCTCTCTCCTATATACTTTTCGCCGCATCCTTGGCATTCAATCAGACTGTTCCTCGTAAAGAACAGATTTTCTGTTCTTAACAGTATTGGCATCCATTGCATTTTCTTTCATAAATTCGTGTATTTGTGAGCATCTCCTTCAGAGTAGGAGGTGGTGAAAACGCGAGTCTCATAGGAAGTCCCGACCCTTTGACGATTTTGTTCAGCTTCCAAGCGAATTTTCTCCTACATAAGGCAGTGTTAGTGTGATTCCGTCCGGAGCTCTATAGGGCATCCATGTCTTGGGCCATATTGGCCGGTACCCAATTTCGTCGAGGATGGTGTTAACGGTAGAGTCTATTTGATTATTTGGAGATAAGCGTAGTTTTTCCTTCGCTCGTAGAAAATTGCGGATCACATTGGCCTTCATGTACTGCGGATGGGCACTACGCGAATTAATATGATGTTACATTACGAAGGTTTCTTGTACTAGAAATATTCGATCTCACTCTCAGTGATTTTAACCTTGGTGTTTGAGAAGGGTAAGAATCCATTCTTCGCAGGTGTTTCAGTAGTGAATGAGATATCTTTGCCAATCGTATTCAATCTTTCGAACATTGTTCTAACGCTTTCTTCAGTATTACCGACGACGAAGATATCATCTACATATCTCTTGTACAAGATTATGTCTGTTGTTAACGTAGCTTTTTCGATGTGATCCAAGAATATTATTGCAAGTAACGGTGCGATCCGATTTCCCATAGCCAATCTCTTCTTTGTTTTGAAGATCCTTCCGTCAAAAGAGAAAACGTTGCACGATAATATTGCATATAGCATGCATCGTAAATCATCGATGTTGAGCGAAAAAGTAGCAATATGGGTTTGATTTTCTTCCAGAAGGGCCAACACTGCATTCACAGCATGATCGTTATTCACACTTGTGTACAAGGAAACTGCGTCGCAACTAGCATATGATGCGGATGCTGGTATTTCACACTTTGTAAGAGCCGACAAAAATGCTTCCGCATCCACGATGTGAGCTCCCACGAAGCGGAGCAACGGAGATAGGATTTTCACCAACAACTAACTCGATAGATTGAGTAAAAGTGTATAAAAAAAGTAGATACTACTCGATAAGTTGGTTGTTGGTGAGAATCCTATCTCCGTTGCTCCGCTTCGTGGGAGCTCACATCGTGAATGCGGAAGCATCTTTGTCGGCTTTTACAAGGTGTGAAATACCAGCATCCGCATCATATGCTAGTTACGACGCAGTTTCCTTGTACACAAATGTAAATAACGAGCATGCTGTGAATGCAGTGCTGGCCCTTCTGGAAGAAAATCAAACCCATATTGCTACTTTTTCGCTCAACATCGATGATTTACGATGCATGCTATATGCAATATTATCGTGCAACGTTTTCTCTTTTGACGGAAGGATCTTCAAAACAAAGAAGGGGATTGGCTATGGGAAATCGGATCGCACCGTTACTTGCAATAATATTCTTGGATCACATCGAAAAAGCTACGTTAACATCAGACATAATCTTGTACTAGAGATATGTAGATGATATCTTCGTCGTCGGTAATACTTAACTGATTTCACTCAATTGCTTCTAACCATACCTTCGATACATAAATCCATGTATTCTGGTAATCTTCGTTTCGAGCGATATAAGAGAACACATGTACCAAAAAACAGAGTCATCCGGGGCAAAGCCCGGTTGTTAAGATCATAACTATCTATATCAGAATGATTGTGAATGAAATAAGCGTAGCGAGTGACATCTCGAAAACAAGCAAGCCAAAACCGAAGAGCTGCGTCTGTATAGCCTTCGGTACAATATTTCTCACCTTACCTCTTTTTAGACTACGACTAAGTTTCAGAAACTCACGACAGCTTTTGCAGTTCGATAAAAACAAGAAACTGTGCTTAACTCTTGCGAGAGAGTCGCGCGCGAAAATGCTGGTTTGTCTCATTAAGAAGTGATTTTCAAGGCTTACGACGTTGTCAGTGCTCCTAGTTGTGTGTTGGCGATCAGAATGATAATGTAGGGTTTTATTGAGACCTCACTCAGATTACGACCGGAGCCAAATGCTCCGTCGGCTCTGGTCTTTCTCCCCTGCTCGTTTGCGTCTCCGCGCGTTGCGCGCTACCTCGCTTTTTCAAACGCGGGGCACGGGGCTTTGACTCTAATACCCTTATCGTTAATGTCCTGAGCTTGATTCTAGCCAACTGAATATCATATTGAATTTCTTGACCTTTACTTTCACGGTGACAACGTCGCAAAAATTTATTTTTTGATTTGAACGAGAAATCTGGCAAAAACCGTGTTTTCAAAAATGGTTTTTTTTTTTCAATTTAGTTTTTTGAGCGGTTTTTCCATTCGATAGATCTTGCTTCCGTTCATAATGTAAACAGCGTCGCGACTTTGATTGTGGTGAAATATCTGGCAAAAAGCTGCAAAAAGTGCGCTTTTGTTCATGGGCCTTTATTGGAGTTAATAAGCAAACATCTCTTATGGGCTTGGGGGCTTTTGCTCAGGATTATGACACAACGAAGCTGATAACGCTGCCGGAAATAGAAACTACGAGAGAGGGGTAAAAATCCAAAGGATTCATCAAAAGCCAGATTGTCTTTGACGTGCATTTCGACCTAGGAAAAACAAAGCTTTAGTCTTCATATAGGGGCCTGCAGGATCGCGAGAGTCGGACGTGCGTACGGCCATTGCGCCGCGCACGTCTGATGTCACTAGGGCAGGTGCCAGATTCATCCGCTTCAACCGGTTCGTTCGGCTCATGGGTCAAATTACTACATTGTCCACAGAAAAGGTGGTGAACCGAATGAACCTGTTGAACAGGATAAGTCTGGCACCTACCCGAGTCGTCGGACGCCGATCTGACGTGCGCGGCGCAATGGCCGTACGCACGTCCGACTCTCGCGATCCTGCAGGCCCCTATAACTGATCTGTTAAAATTTAAAATCTGTTTATTTTCTTCACGATAATCACCACTACCAAACTATGTTTGTTTTTAGAACAATCACAAAGAAAAAACTAGCTTTCCCTCGATTTCTTCCGTGCTGTAGATTGCCTTGCCCTGAAGTTAAAACCTGCAGTTCAAATTGTTTCCGAATGAAAGATTTCAAACTCATCTCAACTTTTCATCCAATTTTGAGAGGTTTTTTTGCTTTTGCCAATTGCTTTGCATCTTTCTCTTTTTCTCTGTTTTTTGAGAACAACATTCACTTTTGTGGGTGGCAGATCTTCGAATAACCTTTACTTCTGAGGCCCTGTCTCTAGACTAACAAAGGTATGCTTCTAACTCTCGAATTTTCTCATATTGATGCACAGGAAGCCTAGCGCTGTTAGGGGTTTGAGCTGTGCTTTCAAATAAAATAACTCTCAAAGGACTTCATCAAGAGGTTATACTTTTTTGAAAATGAAGCGCGAGAACTTTCGGACCAACTTTATATGCATTGTAGCTTGCGATTTTGCTCGCCAAATATTCATTTGCAGTTATTACAGGAAGGTCGTTGAATGCTAACGCGACAAACCCACTGCTGGAAAAAACTTCTTCAGTCGCAAGTAGGATGCAGGTTAGCGTTACTTTTGCGGAGACCCAAAGCGAAAACGACCAAACGAACCAATACATGAAATATTCTACTCTTTATGAACCTCGGCAAGGTAGATATTGTAGTTGTTTATGTAAGCCGCACTCGGAATTGGTAACAAGTATTTATTGTGACTGACGTTTCGGCATTTTACCTTTTTCAGAGCCTGGCACGGACAAAACGATCTGCAACCTACCGATCAATTGCTGCAGCTCTATAAGCGAAATTTCAAGACTCTGCCTGTTCGCTAATTAGGCTGCCGAAACAAATACTTTTAGAATGTCTAGCTACAGGCGCATGAGCGGCGCCACTGAGTTTTGTCCATTCCAAGCTTCAAAAGGTGATCTGCCGAAACGTCAGCCGATAGATAATCGAACCAATAATATTATTTTGCCATACAGCAATTATGAGCAATACTGAATCCATTAATGCAAAACCAGAAATTCTCACATATTTATATCATGATTTTGCAAGTCATCTCTTGAAACATCGATGCAGCGAGTGTTCCACAACGACCGGAAACAACCAAGCTCGCTTGGATATTCTTATGCAGGTAAGATAGCTTTGAACTAAACAAGTTATCTTATTCATCATTACATGGCTTCCTCACGTATTATATTTTCATCTAAGACCTTGGGCAGAGTTCACGCCTCAGACAAATGACCGGAACTTCCGCAGAGCGCTTGCGGAAGTCCGCCGGGTCGCTTGCGGAAGTTCCGTAAACGTGCTGCTGAAGTTCCGAAATAAGGTCCTGCGGAGGTTCCGAAGAATGTCAACCACAACAGCAAAAGAGAACACCGAAGCGAGATTTGAACTTACTCTAATGACTGTGAAAACCACCTACTATCCTCTACGCTACGGCTGACATGTTCGATAATGCACTCTAGTTGTTGACGAGGCAACATCACGAGACAACACATTTGAAGTCCTGCGGAAGTTCTGGCAGGCCGAAGTGTTGCGAAATTTTTGGCATTTTTCGGAATTTCCGCAGGATTTTGAAGAAGGTTCTGCGGTTCCGGTTTTCAACCAGTTTGGCATCAAAATCCCGCGGAAGTTCCGATTTTCAATGTTTTCATTTTTGCAATAGTGAACAAAATCCTGCGGAACTTCTGCAAATTTGGCTTGTCCTGCGGAAGTCCCGGTGATTTGTCTGAGGCGATTTCATCGTCGCGATTCAATCGCTACAAGACAAATGTCATGAGTTCATTGCATGCCGGTCTTCTTGCATTTCGGTTGTGATAGTTTTCCAACACGACTAATCGTGACCAACTATCACAACCGAAATACAGGAAGATCGGCATGCAGTGAACTCGTAACACTTGTTTTGCAGCGATTGAATTGCGACGATGAAATCGCGTGAACTCTGCCCGAGTCCTAATGGTTGGTAGTCATCTATCATCTATATACAAGGTGTCCCAAAAGTAAGTACACACTTTTCGATTGTTAATATCTTTCTTCTCATTGCGTCTTCTTCCGCCTTTCAAGTACCATTCTGTAGAGGAGGTTTCAACTTAGATTTATAGTATCGAGCGAATTACCGATCGCTTTTCATTACTGTAGGATTACTGTAGGAACTTCGACAGAGATTTTAGGCCATTGGAAGCAATATTCTGCCTCGGAACAAAACCAAATAGGCCAAAAACTCTTATACTATGGTAGTGGAAGCCGCTGATTTCGAATATGAAACTTTCACTTGACTCTGATGCTTCTTTCCAAAGTTATTCCAGGTAAACCGTAACAACCGAAATCTCAGTATTTGTCAGAAATGTGATTACACCGTCAAAAAAGCTGAAAACACTCGTAAAAAGTTGTCTAGTAAATTCAGCGTGCGCGAAAACCCTAGTACACGATATTTCAGATTTTTTGAAAAAGATTTTGTCAGATGGCATATTTTACAATGGTTTCTGGAAGTTCTTACCGTATTCCTACAGTGACGAAAAGCGATCGGTGATTCGTTCGATACAGTAAATCTAAGTTACTGGCAAAAAAAGACCTATTGGGAAGATAGATATTGACGATTGAAAAGTGTGTACTTACTTTTGGGACACCCTGTATATATATATATATATATATATATTAGGTTGATTCATAATTAATGCACGTTTTTCTTACCTCTTCTTCCAAGAGCTAGTATTTGATGTGTAACCAATTCCCTCAAAAACTCTTTACGCTATCTAAAAAAGCGTTTTTTCTAGTTTCTTATGCGGGCCTTCGCTTTCGTACATCTCCTTTCGTTCCAAAGTTCTAAGCCTTCAGAAAGAGACTAAATCCCAACATTTTTGCTTTTCACTCTTTTTGCCCTAAATTCATGAGGAATGGCTGGATTAATTTCAAAAAATATGCATAAGGATTATGAAACTTTGTGTTACAAGATGCTTTTTGAGCGAAATATTCCATGGATACTGAGCCGAGAAATTTAATTGCGAACTTGAGTAAGCGTCGCGGCCATTTCGTGCCATATAAATCTTTAAAGCAAAAAGCGATCGCAGGTCTTTTGCACTATTCGGCAAGGGTAGACCTAGTAGATTTGATGGTAGAAAAGCGCTAGGGTTTTCTCACTTTCCAGTGGAGAAAAATGAAATTATTTCAAAAATGACCGAATTTTGAACCCGCCGAGATACCAAAAAAGGTGAGTACTTTCGATTTTTTTGCGATATTTTTTCCCAGAAAATTTCCGTAAAATCCAAACTTGGCCTTGCTGCTCAAGAGACCCTTGGCTACACGATGAGCGAAGTCTACTTTATCCTACTTCATTTCAGCCTAAGTTATGCTCTCTCAAAGAAGAGGCTTCTAAAAAAAGTTGTTGGCAATCTTCAAGCCAGAAAATCTTTCTTGTAATAGATGCCAGGCATAAGTATTTGTTTAATAGCCACTGATTTGGTGGTTATAGTAGTTTTTAGTGCGCCCAGAAATGTCTTTTCAAAAAAAGAATTATCTCGGTTGAAAGTTGAAGTATAGAAAACGTGTATTAATTATGAATCAACCTAATATATATATATCAGTGGCGGTCCCAGGATTTCGGCGGGGGGGGGGCAAAATTTTTTTTCAAATGAAGGTGCGTGGCGTCAGCCACGCACTCTGAAAAAATTTGAGGGAGCCTCTCAAAATTTTTGCGGGCCCCCAACCCCTAAAGATTTGCGGCATAAAAATGAGTTCCCAACATCGGCTTACAAGTCATATCCATGATTTCGTGTAAACAACAGCTGTAGAGTTCATTCGATTTCCGCGGAAGGAAGGATGCGGTGATCAACACAAGCCTACAGCGAGTGACTTAGGGCCGCATGCGCTAACATCCCCGCGGGGAGGGGATCGCAGCTTAAAAGAAAGCTTTATATTTCGAAACTCCAGATACCTGGATTTCACCTTGTGTACCTATCCGTAGGTATTCCTATTACCCTTCACTATGAACATGTTGAACAGGAGCGAGAAGCTGTACAAACCGCATTTTCCAGCTTTTGTATGATCCCTGATGATCCCTGGCGCTTTTCTTCAAAGTCATTTTTCCTTCTCCGAAGTTAACGAGGAATCTCCAGAGTTGTGCAGATTGTCTAACCCGACAGTGCTAAGCATGTTGCTGCTAAGAGCAAATGATGTTTTGAAGTCATGAAATTTGCGATGATCCACAGGTCGAAATTTGAGGCTTACCGAAAAATTCGACTTTTCAAAAACTCATTTGTTCTCATCAGCAACATGCTTAGCAGTATTGTGTTAATGTTCAGTACAACTTTGGAAGGTTTTCGTTAACTTCGGAGAAAGAAAAATGACTTTAAAGAAAAGCGCCGGGGATCATCAGGGGTCATACAAAAGCTGGAAAATGCGGTTCGTGCAGCTTCTCGCTCCTCTTCAACATGTTCATAGTGAAGGATAGTAGGAATGCTTACGGATAGGTAGACAGCGTGAAATCCAGATATCCGAAGCTTCAGGATATGAAGCTTTCTTCTGAAGCTGCGATCCCCTCCTCGCGGGGATATTAGTGCATGCGGCCCTTACTTTAATACAGGAATCCCTTGCAGCGCAGCATAATGGCCGGGTGGAAGGGAGACGGGGGGGGGGAGCAAGGTTTAGCTGAAGCCGTGACCCGGGCAAGACCAGGAAAACCAGCTAGTCTTATATATAAAGCTCAATGTCTGTTTGTCTGTCTGTATGTCTGTCTGTATGTCTGTCTGTATGTCTGTCTGTCTGTACGTATGTTCCGAATAGAAAATTCCATTTCTGAACCGATCCGGACCAAATTTTGCACACATACACTTCGGGCCCCGGCGCGTGTCATAGACTACTTTTCGTATCGATCGATATCGATTTTATCGATTTTTTGCAAAATTTGAGCTACGGGGCTGGGAGTTGGCACAGGGGGGTAATCGAGCATGCTGATTACGAATACAATATTAGTTTTTAAAATCGTGCATTGCTTTTATCGATTTTATAGATTTTTTTGCAAAGTGTGAGCTACGGGGCTGGGATTTGACACAGGGGGGTAATCGAGCATGCTGATCACCCCCGTGGGGGTGATCAGCATGCTCGATTACACCCCTCTGCCAACTCCCAGCCCCGTAGCTCAAAATTTGCAAAAAGTCGATAAAATCGACATCGATCGATAACGAAAAGTGGACTGTAGCACCCGCTCAGACAATCACAGGCTCTCAGCCGGCGGCCACAAAGCCACCGCGAAAACCCACCAAAAGCGCGGTGGCCTCATCGCGGCCACTTTCGCTTCCCGCTGAAGCCCTCATAGCAGTCCGCCCGCTGCCAGCTTTAGCCTCTCGCTCATTGCCATATTTGTAGCCCGCTCGCTTCTACAGTTCTCAGCGGGAAGCGGCAGTGAGGCGATAAGGCACGGCGCTTTTGGTGGGTTTCGCGGCGGCTTTGTGGCTGCCGGCTGAAAATCTTGTCTGTGTAGCTTCTTATGCTTGGACTACAACGTTGTAACTTCAATTAATTCATTATAACGATGACAAGTAACAATGAAGAACATAACCATCTGGAGATATGACCACATGGAGAAATAGATATGGCCCCAGATGGTTATGTTCTTCATTGTTACTTGCCATCGTTATAATGAATTAATTGAAGTTACAACGTTGTAGTCCAAGCATAACAAGAAGCTACACAGACAAGATTTTCAGCCGGCAGCCACAAAGCCACCGCGAAAACCCACCAAAAGCTCCGTGCCTTATCGCCTCACTGCCGCTTCCCGCTTTCCTAAAAGATAGGAAGTGTCCGTAGCCCAAAGCTTAGATCGTATACTACGAGTATGTACGGCCACTGTAAATTCTGGATAAAGGTTATAACTAATGAAATGGCAAGTAACAGTTAAGTGGATGAGTACGCAAGTACGCAGTGATACACACGCATAGATTTACGTTCTTTAGGACAGAAATTATGCTGATAATAGACCTTGAGGGTACAAACATTGATAAAACAAATCCATATGGGGAGCGGCGACAAAGCAATACACATTCCACCGCGATAAATATATTCACAAACATGAGTGAGGAACTGCCAGTGTTAGCGCGCAATGCAGGGGTTTCTCATGCGAATCAACAATCCATTCGC